CAGCTCTTTATATTTTTGAAGTTCTGAAATTCTTTAAAAAACATCAACAATATTTTTCAAATAACAGTCTGGGGACTCAGGGTACAAGAAACACAGACACTCTGCGGTACCCTAAACATAGATTGTCTCTTTTGGAGAAGGGTCCATATTACATGGCAATTAAACTGTTTAATCACCTTCCACCAGAGATAAAAAAAGAAAAAAAACTAACACATTTTAAAAAAAACTGGAAACTCATCTAGCTGCAACATGTCCTTATAAAGTGGAAGATTTTTTTTTTAAATGAGCACATCTGTCTGAGTCAGGGGTGTTGTACTGTATATATTCTCATTTTTGTTAGACTGTATCTTATCCATTGTATTTGATTTTTTAATAATTAATTGTAATAATTGTAATTGTAATTAATTGTAATAATTAATTTACACTCTAGCATAATTGACATGCCATCTGTTACATGAGCTATGCTCAAATTTGTAATGTTTTTTATGGCAAATAAAGAGTTTGAGTTTGAGTCTGATAATCTTGTACATGGACACAGATTGTCTTAAACAGAGTGAATAAAAAGTCAAGACCCGCCTCTCTAATATTTTTCTAAGTAAATATACAGAGATATCCTTTTGGTGATCGTGCAATCTTAGGAGGAAGTTTCATTTTATGATTTTGAAATTTTAAATGTCCCCCAAAAAGGGGGACTTTTGGGGCAACTCAAAAATTTTAAATGTAAACTCCCTTAGAGTGACACCTCATTTTAAAGTGTTTACAAAAACTTAAAGAATGGTGAAAAAACTGAAAACCAGAGTTTGCTATTTCATCTCTATCCAAAATGGCAGCCTCGTAGGTTCTACTCGTAGGATGAGATTTAAAATTTCCCGAAATTTCGAGACTTGTCTATCCCTATAAAAAACTGTCAAAATTTTTTCTCAAACTATGTATATTAAGACGTATTAGGTTAAATACCGAACCGATGTTGGGTTTTTATCGCTAAAAAAAATTACTTAAACTGATAATTTTTTCCGAATTTGTACTATCTTCCGTAATAGTGAAAAAGAGGACATAAATAAATTTTAATCCTTGTACAAAAAGAAAAATTAATTACAACTAATTTAGCAAGAAAATTGTCAACCATGTAATGACTCATTGACTCACTTTTAATTTCACTTGAGCGCATTAAGTTCATCGTAGCTGTTGATTCTCTTGCAACGGCCCCCATCCGACTTCCTTACAAAAAACTTTCCCGGTACCACGCGTAGGTGAATCCAACTTATTGCACTTTTCCTTCAGCGCCTTCAGGAAGAGTTTGTTTTCTGGAGACAGGTACTCGCTGATGTACACTCGTTGATGTGTGAAGGTCGCATTGATCTAGTTGGCAGTGAGAGAAATCTTTCATCCCTTATAATTTGATATCCAGGTTTCCTTTACTCCACGTGCAGTGAACTGAACAATTATAGATTGCGAGCGGTCTTTTTGAAGCTGGGGATCCTGTGTGCTGCCGAGATGTGGTTGCTCTGTACCTCTACTCCAATCGCAGCTCCTACATCTTCAAGTATTTTGTTAATATTTTTCTCTGCGGTTACCGGAACACCACTTATCTCGATATTATTTTTTCTGGTATATTGTTCTAATAGACAAACTCTGTCCCTTAGCCTGTCTGTCACTTCATCATTCAGGACCACGTTATCCTTTTTAAGCTTTATAATTTTGTTTTTAGCAGTTGTCAATTCAGTGTTAATCTGTTGCATAAGTTTATTCACGCTGTCAAATTGATCTGATAAGAAGTTCACTGAAGTGAAAAGACTAGTCAATTTCTCCTGGGAAACCTTTTGTTCGTCACATACCTGTTTTTTTTTTAACTCTCCTATGACACTGAGAAAGAAATCCTTGGTGATCACAGTATCCTGAAAGTAGCACTGCTGGACGAAGAGCTTCGACAGTCTTTACATTTCCACTCACTACTGGATTGCATCTTTTTTCCTTCAAATCGTCCTTAATACAACGCGAGTGAAACACTTTTTCACAACTTCCACCGCACTTAATGAACGCATCCGATGTCCCGGAATCACATGGCTGCCTACAAACACCACAGATTGCCATTTTTATTAAATTACTCGATTAAAGTCACAAACCATACACGAAAATCCGATGACCACATTATTAACACGTTACGGCATGACACGTAACGTTCATTGCGTAGCGGCTATGAGCTGACGGAGCTAGACTGAATGATAGAAGATTGATAAAGTCACTCGTCTCTAACAGACTGAAAATATCAAACAAAAACGTAGTAGGACTATTATTATTGTAACAAAATCTCACATTAAACTCTTAATTTAAAATTAAAACACATTTCACTGTAGCCCAGTACAGCCTATTTGGCCTTTCTTTAATAAACTCACCATTTTCTAGGTTAAGTTACAATTCAAACTGTAGTTGTCATGTTACTGCCACCAGATTGAAAATTGTACAGTCAAAATCTTAAACAGAATATGTTTATTTTACTTCCTAACTTTCTATTTAACTTCCACTAAACAAAATCAATTTTATTTTAAGTTACAAATTCACTTCAAAGTAAAGACATTCAAAACTGACATAACTCCAATCATAACTCCACTTCAATCTAATCTAAATCCATTGGTTGAATATTGTTAGGCCGTCGCCATCTCTCTTTCACTCTCTCTCTCTCTCTCTCTAGTTGGTCTAGTTGGTCTGCTCATTCAGCATCTGCTTTGTTTTCCCATCCTAACAGCTGTTTTGCAGGGCTGACCGGCTGACGTTGCCACATTTATAATTACACCATTATGGTGAATGTCGGGAAAATTATTATAAAATTGCTATAGCTTTTTTTTGTAAACAAAAATTAAAAGTTTGACTTATTTAAATCATGTTTATGTTAACTCATTAGACAATTATACTTATAGTTTGTTTACGCCATTACCACAGTTGTAAAAGTAAAAAAATTATCGTCCATCTGGCAACACTGAGTTTGAAGTGCAACTGATCTTTCTGCCAATGCCAAGACCCAATAAGATTGCGTCATTCCGATGCATCGATGTCCCTTCCGATTAAAGTGAAAAAAATTATGCAATAATAGCTTATTTTTATTTGTTGTATTACTATATTTTGGTATAAATATTTATGGCAGTTCAAACTAAATTTAATACTGTACTTTATAATTCCTTCAAGAATCGACTGCTTATGAATTACTAGTCACGAGACTCCCTTGTTGACTATTGACTACTGTAACTCATGGATTCATTCAATGCTTTATTTAGTTTAACTTACCGTCTCGTTATCAAGACGTCTTTGTTGACTGTTGTAGGGAAATCAAAGTTAAAGTAGTAGTTGTCCTCTTGCTAGCTCTGCCAAATGACGATGGTCGTTTGTTGAAAATTTGGTTTACGCTGGACTAGCCCATATGAATTTAGATAGTTGTTTTTTGTAGGAATTGGGATTAAAATACATCAACACAAAACAAATATCATTTATTAAATACGGGTGTAAAAAATCGTGAAGTGGCACTATTTATAACTACTCGACTCAAATTTTTGAGTAGTAATTACTACTCGACTCGAGGTCAAGTATTTGGAAAAAGTCGAGTACTCGCCCCCCTAGTCACTGGACCTAGGGCTACATGGTCAGTAAAAAATAGTAAATCTACTGGGTGTCCACATACGACAGTCAATTCAGAAAACATTGAGGCTGTACAAGCATCAGTGCTTCAAAGTACCCGACGTTCCGCTGGGAGGCATGCTTCAGCTTTAGGCCTTAATCGTAGCTCGTTACAGCGCATTACACGCAGTGAGTTAAAATTACACCTGTACAAAATCATGACTACGCTATTATATTCTCAATTATCTAAGTAAAAAAATTAGTCAGTTTTTCAGTACAACATTTCATAAGTTAACTTTATTTACCGTTTTCTTTTCCATCATATTATAACAATATGGGATACTTAATCTTCAAAAATAAGTTATACAGCAGAAAAGAATAATCAATGAACATACGCTTCACATATGGTTTTGTGAAAGAATACGTTTTGTACTCCGGAGGATGAGTACTCATGATGTAAATCTGGGTCAATTACAAGATAAGCCTCTGACACTGTTGCTGCTGAAAAACTGACACATTGCTGAAGTGTCAGTTTGGTGTAGAATTTTTCAATTGGGGATTGTTTGGCCTTATTTTTTTAGAAAATGGCAATTCAGTTATGGTAAATTGAGCATCAATATGTTCTGTAACTGTTAAGCACCAATATTTCAATAACTAACTCTACAAGGTTTGACTGTTATAACAAAGCAGATGTGGCTCTGGCCACACTAGCAAAGGACTCGATAAAACTCTTGAAACAAATGTTCCGCAGCCATGTCATCTCACGCTTTGGCAACATTCATTGGGGCAACATTCATTCCTAGTGCTCGATCACCAGATCTTTTTTCAGCGTTTGACTTTTTTTCTTTGATGACACCTTAAATCAAAGGTTTATGTAAATCCTGAACCTTAAATAAACTAAAAGATGCAATTCAAGAAGAAATATTGGCTATTGAAGGGAAGAAAACTATCACAAAATTGAAAGAGAACTTTGAAGAAAAAATCCTTATGTACATCGATAAAGAAAGACACCATCTTTCGGAGGTTATTTCCCCATAAATAATCTGGGTGAGAGACTGTACCACTTTTGTTAATTATAAATTTTTCAAATTTGGCAAATTAACAAGCTCCGAAAAGTAAATAAATAAGAGTTAGGCCTAAGTGAAAAATAATTGAAGTTTTATATCAAATCCAACCATGATTTTTGACCCACCCATTATTTTAAGCTCAACTAGTGTTATCCTATTGTGAAGACAGTGATACAGGCTAATTTGTTTATTATTATCTCTACCTTATTATAGCTAACTGACTCTGTCTAGTTCACAAGATACACAACAAGACTTAAGTATTACAATTGTTGTATTAATAGTCAAAGGTATTACTTCCTAACAGTATGTTTCTGTTTTGATTTTTAGGTCTACCCAAATGAGAGACACAGTCTTCGCAATCTGGATGCAAGTAAACACTATGAAACAACATTATTGTCTTTCCTACAAAACCATCTTTAACACTGCCAAGTATTATAAGAGCTAAATTAAGATCCCTACTGTATGGTATTCTGTTTAGTCAAAAATGTATTACGTGCAAAATCAAGTTCCAAGGACCTGTAATTTGTTAAATAGTACAAATAAATTATATTTCAATAAGTTATAATATTGGAACTCAGGTTACTTTAAATTGTTTAGGCAGTCCAGTGGATAGCATCTTTAACCAATAATTAATAGCTAGACATTCCATCCCTATATGAAAACTGTCACCAGTTTTTAAATCAAAATGTACATAATTATTGAAGTGAGCCACTGACAGATTGTGCTGATGTAAATTACTCATTTCTAATATCTTCTAACATCTTGAAATATGCAGACATTTTAACCTAGTCAAACTGATAGGATGACTTATTGGGAGCTAGCATCTTTTATGTCATGTCAACTATCTCAGTACCGGTAACAAAAACTAAGGTAAAAATATAATTTTTGACACTAGCACAATCTGTGACTATTTCATTCAACATTCTCTTTGAAAAAAAATTAGCAACATCTTGTCCATGAATATGGGATGTCTACTTCAGCATACTAAAGTCATGTAGCATTCTTACTTCACAATCACCTAGGTTGCAAACTATTTTTGAAGTAAAAAAACTAGACAACTGTTATTTGATATTAAGTTTTAAACATCCTGGCTATTTCAGCTGGTCCCTAAATGATTATTCTGAAGTACAAAAGGAAGGTTGGCTGAGTCGATACCTATAAACGTTTAACAGTTAGCTATAAGGTAAAGTATCCGAAGAATTTGAACAATTTAGTTTTTCCATTCTACTGCTGTTGTTAGTTAGACGTTTCACTTATTATTATTACAACGCCTTTTAGCAAACTCAACTCCACATGAGAACTCCAACTATCCAAATAGTTTTTTTGCAAAATAATAAATATCAAGAATCACAGTACGGTCCTGGCAAAGTTGTGATCTTCATTCTTATGGTTGACATCTGCGATGGCGGAAGATGTCATGACATCGTAAAGGTTCCCGCGATCACAGGGACATCATGGATTTTTTGGTTTTCCTAGATGATTTTTGCAAGCACATCAATATCATGAGAATGAAAGCTATGCTCGGCTACAGACTAACCACAGATATACACACACATATATAATAATATATCAATTTGAATGAATAGTTTTTTTTGGCCTCTGGGGACATCAAAATGTAAAAGTAAATCGGTCCCGGGTCTAGGTCTTTCCTACAGTAATGGCCTCTTCTCTATAGGAAAATTCGCTTGGGCAATTTCCAACTGCTTAAAGGAACTCAAAGCAACTCAAGCATTACTCTATGTATGCAAGTAAAGGGGTATTATGTTTTATGTTACTGCATGTCTAATTACCAATATCACGAATATGGATATTTAACTTGACCACTGTAGTGGCTTTATGGTTGCTATTACAATTATACCGGGTGTCCCATAATAGTCCCCCACTGGTTAATTTTTAACGGCTGCATATATTCAAATGAGGTTTGATACACGGTACTAGGGTAGTGTCATCACCCACCCCCAAATAGGGCTTGCTGGTGCTGGTGAGGCTTTGATTTTTAAAATACCAACCCCTATTTGGGGGTGGGTGATGAAATTCAAAATCATGCTAAAAAGTGTGTGACATCATTCTGGTCCCATGTACTGAAGATTATTTGAAAATTTACAGCCATGAAAAAATAAAAGTGATGGAATGTTCCAGTTAAATTAACGTCTAACATTTCCTGCCATTTTAAAAATTCAAAGTCGGATTTTTAACATTAATTTCCTTTTTTATAGCTCTTAAAAATAATGTGCGACTTGATAGGGGTTGCCATTAAAAAGTTTTAAGTAAACCCCAGCAACCCCTATTTGGGGGCAGGGGGTGAATTGAAAAATATCACCAAAAAGTAAGTTTTACATTACTCTAGTAATGTGTATTGAAGCTTGTTTGAATACAGGCAGCCGTTCAAAAATTAACTAGGGTTACTATTATAGGATAGGCCTACCCGTTATAACAATAACAAACACATTATATAATACGCAAATGATTGTTTAATATTTTTTTCTTTATTTAAATTTGTTATTAATTACACTCCATTAAATTGATTCTTTTAATTTGTAACTAAATTGAAACATAACTTATTATAGAGCTTGTGAACGGAAATGTTGCAGTGTAGCTCCTCCTCTTTTTTATGAAGAGTTTTTTTTTTATAGTTTAATTTATGCATGTCAAAGTTTTTCCTTTTTAAAATTACTGTTATCATTTTATGGTGTTTCTATGGAACAAATTATTTACAACTGGACTTGCCTTTTTAATTAGATTTTATTTTTATCATAACTCATTAATAATTATTACTGGACAGATATTTTAGCCCTCTAGAAGTATTTTAAATGGTAGATACTTTGCCATCGTAAAGTGCAATGGAATAGGTTATAGCTATTTTTACACTTTAAGATTAGTATTTTGAGCTTGATGTGTATAGAGAACTAAAATATCCTAATGACATTGTGATATCATCATTTCTGTAATATATTCTAAATATTTATGTTGATTTTTCAAACTGAATGTTGTAAATAGTGTAATTTATTATTTCATTTTACAATCTTTGTTATTTATAAAGTTATAATTTTAGGATGATGATATTTTTTATAACTGTATATACTGTAATACTTTACAGGCATTTTTATTTTTCCACTGATATTAAGATTAATAAATTTATAATTCCATCCTACATTTCAGTTTAATTCAGGCTTTAAAAATATAATTTGTATTACAAAAAGCAAATCTACTAACCTATTTATTAGTTAAGCAATGTTAAATCCTCTCTCACATTTTATTTCTTGTAACAAAAACTGTATAATATACATAGATTGTAACATAGTTTGGTAGATAATGTATTTATACTTGGTTATGTATTCAGTTGAAAAATATTTTAAATAATCTACAATATCGGAAGTACTTAATAACTTCCAAGCTCATAGTTTTATATGGACTGTTTGAATTTGTGACATTGTAACTGTTTTTTTTTTTTATCACATTGTTATTAGCTTAACCTCATTAGTTTTCCATGAAAAATATTGTAATACTCAATATTGTAAAATACCTTGTTTGTTTACATTATACTGTGAGTTATTGACTGTTGATACTGAGAATAACCAAAGTTAGATCTGTTCATTGATTAATTAATTCTTGGTTAATTAACTTCAATTATTGGTTTACATTCACCCCAACTTCTAATTCCAAAGTCGCTATTTTTACCCCCCCCCCCCCCCCCAATCAGTTCTATTCTCATTGTTAACTTGGTGGTTCTCCTTTAGTACCGAAAGTCAATAATTTGTTATATACGAGTAAAAAAACACCCCTTGAGTTATGTTACAGTATTTTCCTTGCTTCAAAATAACGGTTGTAAATTAGGAGATGTTTAACTTTTTAAGAATTTTTAAAGTTACATTTTAAAGTATTAAAATATTACCAAACATGTTTGATATCTCTGCAGAAACTAATTATTATTAAAAATAATCTGTATCCACGTGTTTTTATATCCTTACATTATAATCAGCCTACTTTATCATCAAGGTCCAATTAGTAGAACTGCGGTTAACTGAAATAAAGGGAGGAAAGCCGTTTCGGATAACCAATTTTTTGGTTAACCTGTCATATGCTAAAAATAGTCTATGTATTACCACGGTGTGTAGGAAAAATGAATTTAAAACAACTACTGTACCTGTTGCTCGAATTCGAGCAATTACTAGTACGATATAAACAGGCGTTAGGTGTTATTACAGTTATTACGTGTTATTACAGTGTTATTACGTTATTACAGACTTTTTTGGGTTTTTTTTTAAACGAATAACAGTCATAATTTCTGATGACTTTAAAAGATTTGACTCAAAGATTATGGAAATACTCAAGATGTACCTTACAGATCAATATAATCAACATTTCTTGTAAATATCTTATCACTTTTCAAAAGCTGATCTTGTTTTTTAGTGTTTTCTACAAATAGCCTTACTCATAGCCGCATTAGGTTGTCCATAATAACGATTATAATTTAAAAAAAAAAAACATAATTTCTATTTCTTCTCCTTGGTGGTGTTCTATGACTTTCCTATATTTCCATAGTTTGCAAATCGGCTCTTTCAATGATTACTAAGAAATTCAGCCCAGTGTTAATTCAGTTTTGTTTTTTAGTTATAAAATTATCCAGACTCTCTGGTTTTTTTCCATTGTAATGTTAACACCAACCCAAATTCAAATAGTAAATGTTTCATTTCAAGCAAGTCAGTTTGAAAAGTTTCCTGCACAACTTCACGTTACGCTCTTTCCAATGACACCAAAAACATGTCAATCGATTCAGTAGTTTCGGAGGAGTAATTGTCACAAAAATCCTGCTTGCGTATTAAATAAGTACAGATAATAATATATAGATAGATAGATATAGATGTCTATATAATACAGTGTTTAATTTCAGCTACAAAAATGTTACGATGGGTTAGAAAATACTTTAACCTAAACAACTGAATCATCTCAAGGACATGTCAAACGGCTCACGCATCACTGATACATCACGTAGGCTTTTTTTCTAGAGAGAGAGGCTTGGCACTTGCCTCGCTGTTTACATATTACCTATTGTACTTATATTTTAGCCCTGTATTTTATGGAAAGGTTTCAGTTAACCCGGGTTTCGATTAACTGGTGTTTTACTGTACAAATTTAAGCAGTTTTTTTTTTTAAAGTAACTTACCGGAAAACATTTTGAATAAAAAATATTTATAGCATTTTATTAATTTTAAGAACTTTTTGTAGAATACAGCACCCATCTTACTTTTGTCAGGTGTGGGATCTTGTCATGGTTTTACTTAAAGTTAAAAGAGGTATTGAACTGTTCTGAAACATCCTGTATACAAAGATACTGACTGACTCACTTTCTAGCAGTGGTATTGATTGATTGTAGGGGTGTGCAAAGCAGCAAAAAAAATTTTCATTCGAAGCAACGATTTGATTCAAAAGATTTTCGATTTGAATCGATGCAACTCAATTGATTCAAATCAGTACGGAATTTTTCTATCCATACTTGTCAATAGAGTGGAATAACAATAATTAAATTTACCACCTTTGTGTAATGCATATTTGTTTTTCTGTGGAATTAGGCCTATCCATACATATGACATATATGTATGGTGAAAAATATTTATTTTCAATCATATTTTAGAAGAACCTGTATTGCTCAAAATGTCAGGGAGCTGCTTTACTTGCCTATTTCATAGTTTTTACTTGCAGAATCATATTTTTAAGCATGTTACCTATTTTATAATATTGATTTTACAAATAATATGTTTTGGTGTAAACAAATTAAAACATTTGCAAGATTTATATTGAAACTTTCAATTGGTTTACATTGATTTTTGAGAGGATAGAATCAGACCTACAAACTACAAGGTATAGCCTCAGACCTACAAAAATACCAATTTTATCCATATAAATCACCAATCTTACTAGTTAAGTATCAAGTAGGCCTAACAATTACAGACTTGAGTTATCTTATATATTTAAAAAATTTGGTTTTTCTTTTCCGAGTTCGTTTGGCTCTTCTACTCGACCGATTTTCATGATTGAGGTCTCAAATTGAAGGTATACACGCACAGATTTGCCATCAAGCATCGGCAAATATTTATCTATAATCCCACTCGGCAGATATGTAAACGAAATTTGCTCCCCATGTATTTCTTATGGGAGTTAAATTTGGGTTTTCTTTGCCGAATTCGTTTGCCTCTTCTACCCGACGGATTTTCATGATTAAGGTCTCGAATTGAATGTATGCGCGCACAGATTTGCTATCAAGCATTGGCATATATTTATCTATAATCCCACTCGGTGTATACGTAAACAAAATTTGCTACCCATGTATTTCTTATGGGAGTTATAATTTTATAATCCTATATATTTTAGTCTAAGAACCTTCAGTGAAATAATGGCTTTCTTTTAAGCTATTAGTTATTCAAATCGGACAATTTTCAAGCAAACGGAAGGTGAACAATTAACATAAAAATTATTTTTCATAAGATTTTTATATGGTTAAAAATTATAGCTCCAGTATTGTTTATGTTTTTCTATATGTTTTAGCATGGATAAAACATAGTCCCTTAGTAGATTTCGGTATTTACTCAGGGGAGGTATAGAAGAGGCTACGATGACAGCTGTGGGCTTCTTATTAGCTGAGGGAACGCCATTACCGTAACAAAACGGTCGGTAGCCATCGGCCTCGGTGGTCTAATGGTTAGCGTGTCGGGCTGATATACTGAAGGTCCCGGGTTCGAATCCTGCTGGTAGCATTAACTTTTTGTCCAAGATTTTTTTATTATCAGCAAGTTTGGTTGGTTTGGTTCGGTTATTACAGTTTAATTTTATTATTAAGTCATTACAAAATTTTAATTGAGCAAATTCTAGTTTTATTTATTTAACAGAATTATTTTTCCGATTACTAAACTTTTGTTATATTATTTCTTTATCAGCAAGTTTGGTTAGTTCGGTTAGGTTATGATAGTTTAATTTTATAATTAAAAAATAATAAAATTGAATTTGAGACATTCATAATTTTATTTTATGAACAGAACTATTTTTGCGATTAGTAAACCTTCATTGCCAAAGTGCTCTCTACTACAGCGCTGTTCACGGAGGAATTTTGAACTAAATGCCTCATTCGTACCTCCCCTAAGTCAGACCCGTAGATTTCCCATCCTTATGGAACAGCTGAAGCCAATTTAGTTCTGTCCGGTTTTCTGTAGATGTCGTGTTTTGTTTACAATTTGTTTCTATTATTTTAGGGTTAGTTTCTCATTATTTGTGTCTCACTGTTTGGTTATATAAAACCAAACCAAACAGGTTGGTAGTGGACGAGTTATTGTTTATGATTAGATTTATTTTATTATGTTAAATGAGGTTTTAAATCACTGAAATAACAAGAAACAAATTGTAAACAAAACACAACATCTACAGAAAACCAGACAGAACTAACAATAAAATTGGCTTCAGCTGTTCCATAAGGATGGGAAATCTACTAAGGGACTATGTTTTATCTATGGTTTTAGACTCAAAATAATCAGTAAATTATAGGCTTTAATTTGAGCTATTGATCTTTTGAATCACTTAAGCTCAAGATACTATTGAATATTATTGAAAGTAGCATAGAAAATGCTGACAATGTTATCAAAGCCAAGTGGAAAATAATAAATAATGAGTTTAAAGAAAATTCTTTTCACAACGATGAAATTAAATTAGTTGTAGACAAAATATCATATACAAATCCTAAAGATGTTAGTGAAGTTTTTAATGAGTATTTTGTAAGTGCTGTTGACAAATATATTAACCCTAAACTAAATAATCATAGACAGTTTTTCCAAATGCCAATTCCAAATAATGTATCAAAATTTCATATTAAACCTTTAGATGAAGCTGAACTCGAGCAAATGTTATCTTCTTTTGATAACAAGTTCTTACGATGAGATTCCAATGCCCAAAGTTCTAAAAACGCATTACTAAAACCCTTGGTACATATCATTAACTCTTCTTTCATTTCTGGAATTTTTCCAAATAAACTAAACATTTCTAGAACCAAAACATTGCACACAAATGGAAAAAAAAACAGTACCATCAAATTACAGGCCTTTATCAATATTGCTCACCATATCTAAGCTCTACGAGCGTGCAATGCACTCCTGATTGGTAAGTTTTTGGAAAATAATTAATTATTTGACTAAGGCCGGGCGCACACCTGATGCGGCACGGCGCGACGTTTTGCCTTAAGGCGCCTTATGCGACTAGATTTCTATTATTTCAAATGGGGGTGCCGCACACATCATAAGGCACGGCAAGGCAAGGCAAAAGAGCGCCGTACGGCGCTTTGTTCTGCCTTTTCCATTTTCGTCTTTCGGGCAAAAGGCTTGAGGCAAAACGATGTGCGCATGCGCGAGTATCGACACCACGTTCAGCGCAGTGACAGCCCCTATCAAAATCAGTGTGCACTTTCAACGATCAGTAATTATGATTTTTTCCGGATCTGCTCTTAGTTCTGCAATGAATGGTTTCAAGTTCCTTTTTTGGTTGATGGGATGCACCCACGATTCTCTGTTAGGGAGATCATCCATTACATTCATTAGGTACCATCATTGACTATATAAACACAACAGTCAATGGTACCATATAGCAGCGATGGCAGCAGCCTCTTCTTCGCCTTCTGCATCCATTCTCACAAAATGTGTGGTACAAAGTGTCACAAAATGTACAAACAACCTCATAACACACAGTATCTCACTTTACTGAAACCATGGGATCAACCATGTGGGTGCTCAAGTCGCCTTGCCGTGCCGTGCCGTATGCATCTCAAATCTCCATCGGGCACGGCAAGGCGAGGCAAAGACATCTCGCCTCGCCTTGCCGTGCCGTGCTGTATCAGGTGTGCGGCCGGCCTAAGAACAACATGGTTTTAGGTCTGGAAAATCTGTAACACCTGCTGGTATTGATCTAGATGAGACTATTATTGATGCTATTGATAGAGGTGACAACTCTGTTGGAATTTTCATGGACCTTAGTAAAGCTTTTGATAGCGTTTCGCATCAGACACTTATTTCAATATTACAAAATTTTTGTATTACTGGAAATTCACTAAATTGGTTTAAATCATATTTAGAAAACAGGCAGCAATATGTTGAACTGAATACGATTACAGAATTCAATCAATTACTTAAAGTCAAATCATTAAAACAAGTCAAATATGGAGTCCCTCAGGGGTCTATTCTTGGTCCAATTCTATTCCTCTGTTATATAAAAGGCCTGCCTTCAGCTCTAACAAACTTAAACAGTAAATTATGTCTCTATGCCTGATGATGCAAATTTAATAGTTTCTGGTAGATCAAAAAATTACATTGAATATATAGGCAATAGTAGCCTTGAATCTATACATGAATATTTATCTTGCAAAAACTTATTGCTTAACTCGGAGAAAACCAACTACACAAATTTTTCAACTGCCCAAAAAAACCTTTAAAACGTCATTTAAAAATTGATAACAATTACTTACCTCAAGTGACTCAAACTAAATTCTTAGGACTAATAATTGATCAAAATTTATCTTGGTTGTACCACATTGATAAACTAAAAAGTAAAATTTGTTCAGGTCTATTTATGCAACCTTAAGTCTGCAGTTTATGCAATCTTAACTTGTCTAAACTAAAGGTTTACTATGCTAACATAAACTCACATGTTGCATTCGGCATTGAATTATATGGTGCAACAACCATTCAAAATTTAGATAGTATATTAATTCTTCAAAAGAGAGCCATACGTATCATGTTAAACTTAGGAGAAAACCAATCGGAAAAACATTATTTTGCTAAATTAAATATCTTTACACTGTATGGATTATCTATACTTATAAAAGGCAAAGCCCTCACTGACACACTCACTCACTCATCACTAATTCTCCCACTTCCCATTTACCTAGGAGGCTGAAATTCGGTACACCGATTCATTGGGCATTAAATAGGAAAACTAAGTAGTTTTTATTCTGATCGGGCTTTCGGGCTCCGCCCCAGTGGCTCTGGAGTTTCCCACGTTAACATTATGATTTTTCATATTTAAAAGGAATTAATGAATCTTAACAGCTGTTTTAAAGAAACAAGTTGGTTCTGTTCTGTGATGTTCAATAGCATTAAAGTTACAATGATTACCAACAGGGTGCAGCACTATTATTTTTTTTTTATTTATGACAACAGCTAATTTGCAACTAAAAGGTGAGTGAGCGTAGCGAACGAACTTCAATCTGGAGGCGAGTTAGCGTAGCGAACGAGCTCCAACCTAAAGGTGAGTGAGCGTAGCGAACGAACGTCAACCAGGACGTGATTGAGCCATGGGAACGAGCTCGTCTTGAAAATTAAGAAGTTAAACGGGGCATAGCCCGCGGGTACAGCCAGTCTATATATATAATACGCTAAGCCGATTTTTGTAAACAGAACTCCTCCCTCATTTTTGGGCCGATTTTGATGATTAAAGTGTCAAAAGAATGGCCCCAATCTGTAGTTTTGCAAAGTGTTTTTAGTTTTTTGATATCTTTATTATTTTGGGCAGGATCTTCCATCAAAGTTGGGTTTTCTCCCATAAGATTAACATAGGGGAATCTAAATATTTAATTGGAAACTTTGTCTCCACTAATTTGAGAGAACGGCTGTGCGTAGAAACTTGGTAGAGGTGTCCAAAGAAAGGTCTTGGTCTGTAGATGAATTATCAAAAGAAAAACGAAGCAAATTAGCTTAGGGCTCTGCCCCAGAAGACCCCTCCACAGATTTGTTTACATTATGGCCATGTGGACAATATTTTTTAATGAAACAGCTGTTAATTAAAAAAAACACACATTTTTTTGGGAGTTACTGAATTGCCCAAAAGAGGTATTTGCAATGTTATTTCCTGATTTTAAAATTGATTTTCTTCTGTATCATGCCATGTTTTGCAATATAACGTTCTATTACGAAATCAGTGGAAAATCCTTTTATCACAGTAACTCTCTTACAATTATTGCTTACTAGCAGCGCACCCGTCCTTCGTACGGGGATGGCATATAAGACAGTATAAAATGCTTATTGCAGTCATACTCAAGCTTTGCGTTTGCAATGGGGGAGAACACAGTTTGATAAAATTTGGTTCATAAATTTACGGTATGATACGACAACACATCTACCATTGCCATAAAGTTCTACCACTGCACCTAAACAATAGAAAAAAATAAATTATCAAACATTCGCATAATATCAAAAATTATTTGTTAAATTAAAAACGCAAACCTAACTGTAAACAGTCCTACTTTGACTGTTCTCATTGTGTTTCACAGCTTTTTGTTGCTGCTTAGTTCAAATTAGCTGTTGTCATATATGCATAAACAAAATAATAATAGTGCTGCACCCTGTTGGGAAACCTTATAACTTTTAAATTCTATTGCATATTATAGAACCAACTTGTAAAGTTGAAACAGCTGACTAAATTCTTTAATTCCCTTTAAATATTAATACTCATAAGGTTAACATGGGGATCTACAGAGCCACTGGGGCGGAGCCCGAAAGGATTTTGAGATAAGAATATGTCTAAATGTTCATCAAGAATGTGAGCTATCATCATGCCAAATTTCAGCCCGATCCATCCAGTAGTTTATTTGTGATTGAGCAACACACAAACTTTCAGATTTATAATATTAGTATTGCCAATGAAGCCGCACGACCATATAAATGAGGAGGCCCCTAACAGTTCAAGAATAAAAGCCAACTTCACTTTAAGTATATTCCACTACACCTAACATTCCGTATAGAGATTATATTGACAACTTTATGTCATTTATAAGGCTGAGACAACTAACTGACATCCCCCATGTCAAGGAATTCCAGCTTTAACAGTAACCCCACAACCAATTTCTCAAAACTGTGCTAGAGGGTTATCCATTGGCACAGAAGTACGATATGAACTGACGCGACATGACAAAGGAAAAATCTAACTTACACTGTAAAGGATATACCACCCCTTGAAGTTAGATCGTCTCTTCCCAACAAACAGATATTTTTTTTATAAAATCATAGATTAATCTGCATTACACTGATGAAATCACGGAAGTGTTTAGCTACAAAAGATCCACCAATACGATTTTAATACTATTTAAAGGATCTTCCAAAGGAAGAGATACCAAATAATATACTAATAACTCCGATGACGTACAGGATGGGAAATATTATATTCATTGAATGATCAACCATATTTGATAACTATCGCAACTAATATCATTATTGTTTTTACACATAATAATCTTTAAACAATTCTAAATGCTCAAAATATGTATAGCTTCACTCAATTTATCGCAGTTAGATGAATTGGCGTAAACCTTGAAAGTAACCGTCAATTTCGAGGGGTTTCACCTAGTTACATTTAATGCTGCTCACATTTCTTGTGTTTTTTTCACGCTGCGTTCTTGTGTGAAAAAACGCCTCCTGTGTGGCCGTAGCCTGCGGTGCTGTCATTCGGTCCATCGTACTAGCAAAGCAGATATTCCCAACACTCTAGCATAGGGCAGAGGAGTCCCAACACATGACCGCTACCAAGCTTCACAGGTGTTAAAGTAAACAACTAGGGTCACTATGGATAAGACAGTCATGCTCAAAACCTCTCAGATAAATTTTGGTTGTTGGTTTGTTTACCAAGTCTTTTTATATTTGAGAATAAATAATTGAAACATAAACTCTGTCTACACAATCCAAAAGCTTATCTATTTTTACCTTCTAATCACATCCAATATACAAGTTTAAACAATTAGGAAACAAAATAACTCAATAAAACTGCACAACTATATTTTATTAAAGAAAAATATAACAACACTTAACCACTTGATTTATTTGTAAAACCAGTTTTGGTGTACTTATTTAAAAACCTATATAAATATTTGGTTCTCTTCATTAGATTTTGCCATTTCACAGGTTTTTCGTAGTGTTCAGAACCTTCACGCAGCATGTTCTTTCTTCGTAAACAGTGTTGATATTCATTTCCTTTGAATCCTCTCAACCAAGCTGGCACATTATAGAGGAGTCTGGTAGGGTGGAGGTTATCATTGCCCAATATATCAATGTAATCGTTTTGCCCAAACAATGCTCTTCTCTCATTCCAAAAATCCTTCGGTCGGTACACAGGCGTGGGCAGTCTAGTCCCGTCCACATGTGGAAGTGTTCCTCGTTCCAACAACTTTTCCGTGTAACCAAATCTTCGTAGCAATTTCCCTTTGGCCAATTTTTCTGCGTGATATCTGAACCTCACACTCTGGACCTGCACTGAAGACAATGCAGAGGGGAAATGCCATGCAAATCTTGCTATCAGACTCATGTTTGTATTCTGAAACAAACAAAAAACTTATACTATTAAAAAAGCATGTTCCAATCCAACCTCATTATAACAAACCTCTGTGTAATAAATGTCTTGCTAAAGCAATTTTTTTAATCCCCTTTAGCACCATGTAAATTTTACTTCTACATAACTAACAAACTGACTCAACAATATCTGTTTAAGAAATCTTAAACTATCCCGTAGAATAAGTGAGACGCAGGAATTGGCTAACTCAGGAACTCGCTAACTCGGTCGTGTGTCGGAACTGGCTAACTCCGGAACTGGCTAACCGTCTCAGTCAGGAATTGGCTAACTCCGGAACCCGCTAACTCGATTTTGTCTCGCGGCGGAATTCGCTAACTCTGGAAGTCGCTAACCCGGCCGCGCCCACTGCACGGAGCGTTGCCAACCTTGTACGACAAAATAATCGTACACTGCCGTATTTCAAAATGTCAGTGTCAATAAAGATACAGTAAATGTTATTGTTTTTGTTATCAATTCCACTTTTAACAGATAACTAGCCCAAAGTAATTCAAAAGACAATTAAAAAATCATGAAAAAGTGTTTTTTTTATTAAACTGTACAATGGCCAGTTAAATGTTTATGATTTCGATCTTAAATATAAATGCCATCAGTATAAAAGAAAATAATAGGATATGAAAAATATTGAAATTTCAGTTTAATCGGTACTAAATAATTAAACCTCTACGAAACTAAGCTAAAATACACGCAAGTTCTTAAACACGGAAACAGATGTATGTTACATGTTATAAAACCGTTTTTAGATTGTACACCTAAGCCTTCTTTCACACCAGCGCGGTGCGGCACCGTCCCGCACCGTCAATGCGGGGTGACCCGCAAGGCCCTTTCACACTAGCTGCCCGGATCCGGGCGTTTCCAGCCTGAAACTTTGTGCTTTTGGATGTATTTTGTTCAAATAAATAAAAGAAAGATGGTTATGGTACTTGTATCCGAAAATAAAAATACAAATAACTTGCCCCCTTGCCAAATAACTTGCGAAAATCTTTCATTAAATTGTTATTTTATTACGGCAAAAGAATGTTTACTATGCGAAAGATATGTTTACTATCTGTTTTGGATTTTTTCCGACGTAAACAAACAAATAATTGTTATTCTTTTATCGACTGTTTTAACTGTCAACAACTAAAGTAAACACTAACTTTAAATTGAAGGCATAACCTATAACATTCTACTGTATGAGCTTTGTAATGAAGAAAATAATTATTCTTTGTAGTGCAGCGAAAAGTAACGTTAAAAACACAAGTGAAAGTGGGTCTATAATTATTCTCAACCATTTAAAAAGTGCTCGATGAATCTCGCATTGTCACAAATAATGTAATGACTCACTTTCTACTCTTTTTATGAAATATACTATAACATCTGGGACCATATTTTGATTTCATGGCACTATAGGAGATAAAGTAATTCTGTAGTTCAAATTTCGATATATGGATTTTTATGCACATATTTGTAGGCGGTTTTAGCTTAAACAACCACTTCATTTCCTTCCATATAGAAGAAAATGTAAGTGCTTCTTAAACCAAATGTTTTTATATTAAATAAATCAGGTATGTTTAATCAAATCGTTTGTAAAAATTTTAACATGCAAATGTATGATGGTTTGCTGCAGTGGGGGTCTTGTCCTACACACTGGCCTTCAAACTAAACCAAAATATAAAGCTTGACCAAACTAATCAGCACTATATAAGTTTCAACCTCCATACCAAAAACAACAAACTTCCCTATTAATTAACAAGAGAACTACAAAATCAACCACACTCAACCACTGATAGGCATAGACTGTCAAAACTACTGCTATGTGCGGGCGAAACCAGCCCGTCCCGCGTAAGTGTGAAAGCGTACATAAGAACCCATGATCTAAAAACTATTCGTGCGGTTTCGTCCCGCATTGGAAGTTTAGGTTCGTGCGGGTGATTTTTCAACCCGGACAGAGGTTTAGGTCTGTCCGGGTCAACCCGCACTGGTGTGAAAGCTCCTATATGATTCAATAGTCTAAACACCTTCGTCCGGTGCGGGACGGTCCCGCACCGTGCTGGTGTGAAAGAAGGCTAAGCACCACTAGTAAAAAATAGGAGAAGATATAATATTCATATAATAAAACGTGACACGGTAATTTTAATTCACGATTTTTAATAAACTAATTGACGGATTTTCCTGATTTGAGTGTTGGGTTTCCTTTATATTGCTTTCACAAACGATATAAACTATACCAAGCCATTGCTCGGTTCACCGTTCCCCAGTACTGAGCTACACAATAGACAATAGCTTTGTTTTTGGATAAGATAGAATCAGCCTGGAAAAAAACTCCAGACTTTTAAAAAGTAAGCCTACTGAAAGACATAAAATTAATATTAATTCAACAAAATTAAGAGGATGACCCGGGTTCTACACTAATAGCCTACGATAAAAGAAATTTACAAGTTGTATTTATGCATAGACTAACTTTTAATGCAATCCATGAATACATTAGGCCTACCACTTTATAATGTATTGATAAATATTTATTTAAATTCAATAGCTCTATTTAAAAATACATAACCACTACAATGTAATTCTGTAATGACGTTTAACGTGTAAATTTTATTATGATTTATGATTTAAGGTTACTACAAGCCCAGTATATAAAATACGAACTCAAAAATTTTATTTGCAGAAGTTCACAAAATTGTATTTATTCGAATAAAAGAAACAAATGGCGGACTACGAAAATAGATATTTCATAACACGTAATAGATCCAAATTAAATGTGCATTTTTATCTTTTTCATACCAATAAGCTACTATTTAAGTAAGAAACCCACATATAAAACATACTCCCTTATATTAGTACATTTCTCATCCTTACGGATGATCTGAAGACAGTTGTATTGTTAGTTCTGTCCGGTGTATTGTCTCTAGAGGTCGTGTTTGGTTTACAATTGTTTCTTGTTTTCAGTAATTTAAAACCTCGTTTAACCAAATAAAACGTTCTAATCACAACTAATAACACGTCCCCTAGTTATATAACCAAACAGTAAGGAACAAATCATGAAGTTAACTATAAAATAATAGAAACACAATTTTGTCGACACTAGCGATCAGTGTCACCGGACATGAACTAGACACGAAAAACGAGCTTCAAAGTTTACAATGGGATGTAAAGTTTACTTGTGTTGGTTAGTCTATGGTAAGACTATAATGCATTTTCCACCCTAATAATCATAAGAACTTCTCTGTAGTTAAACATACTTCAAAATATATTTATTTTATCGACTACGTTGCTCTTACTCCTAATTAAGCGTAGGATACGACATTATGGTGCCGATACGATATAGGTACTACACTTTCGGCAACACTGGCCAAAAATATTCGTGCTTGGCTCCCATTGGACGGCGAGGCTTCTGATTGGGAGTTAGCGAGTTCCGCCGAGGGACCGTAGCGACTTCCGTACGAGGACGGAATTCGCTAACCCGGCTCTAGAGCGGGTTAGCGGGTTCCGGAGTTAGCCAATTCCGAAACCGAACAAGTTAGCGAGTTCCTCTCATCGACCAAATTTGAAGATAGGGCATTTAACATGGGGTTAGTGAGTTCCAGAGTTAGCCAATTCCGCGGACCCGAATAAGTCACCTCAATATAACAAATTTATCATCACCAGAACAGAGTGTGTTACAAGTCCCCTGTTATCTGTCACCACAAACAGATACAGGGTGTTTTAAAAAGGTGGGGACATTATTTATGTAATGATTCCTTGTGTCAAAATAAAGAGAAATTCATGAATAACACTTTTCTCAAAATCGCTTTATTAACCAGATATCCGCCATTTTGTATTTTTTACATAAACATTTTTATCTTTGGACGGTTTCAACCAATCATTGGTAGGTATGTATGTTAAAGTAAAAGAGATTGAGCAAATGTTAGAACAAATTTACATTGATCCAATTTAAAATTTCAAAATTACAGCTATTTTAATTTTTAAATGTACATTCCAAAAGAATGGCTGATTTTATGTAAAACTGTCAAGAACGCTTTTATTTAGCACTTCAAATTTCCTATCAAACGATACCAAGTTCAAAAAGATCTAATAACAAAAAACTGAAATATCAAGATTTTTAGTTGTAAAATGAGGCAAACCTCTTTTTCCACCACCACTTTTTCATAAAACCAGCCATTCTTTTGTAATTTACGTTTAAAAATTTAGAATGACCGCCATTTTGAAATTTTAAATTTGTTCAAGAAGGTAAATATTTGTTCTAACATGGGTATTTTCTACTTTACATACTACCAAATTTCATAAAGATCAGTTTAAACAATCCAAAAGATCAAAATATTTATATAAAAAATACAAAATGTCAGATATCTGGTTAACGAATTGATTTTGGAAAAAGTTACCGGTATATTCTTCATTTTCTATTTATTTTGACCCAACGAATCACTACATAAATTATGTTCCCACTTTTAAAACACCCTGTATAGAGAATTGCCTGTGTCTTTCCCTCGATTTAGGCTATTGCATAATTGTAATGTTTAAACTCTGAATTTGTCTATTGGAGTGTGACAATAAACGTATTCTGATTCTGTAACGAACAAAAACAAGTAAGTCAATTGTGTCTGGTCAGAACTCTAACAAACAGAAAGAAACATCAATTTTGTCTAGTAAGAACGCTCTGTGAACACAGTACCATAATACACTTAAAAACAAAGTTAAGCTAAGTTATTTCAAACAGGATGATTCTTGGATTTTCAACAATACAATTAAAATACTTCATTGTGTTTTAATAAGTTCAAACCACGGCCTATATTGACCGATGCTGTTAGTGAACCTTGACTTGATGAAATTCCTGCAAACTTAACCTCAAAATAACGAACCATGATTTAACGAATGCTCAGCCCCTAAAGATTTGTTATAGGCCTATAAGATTATAGACTGTATATTATTGAATACTTTTAGCAAATTTCCCATATAGTCGGGTAGATATAGGCACTTGAGAT